TGGGGGAAAAAATAATCGATTTATGAAAACTTTAAATTTATTTCGACGTTATTGTTAATTTTCTATAGACTAATAATCAATATTTATTGAAAACTATAAAATGCGATATTTTGTATGATGATTTGATATTGTTAGTAAATATCACTGCACATGCTTTGCAAAACTCGATAAAGTTCTAATGAGGAAGTAGTTAAACGAAAGTACTAATAAAACACCTCCACTCGACGAGTTGGCGACTCTAGCTAAAGTTGATTTTTGCAGGAAACGAATGGACCCTAGACAGTTATTTCCGTTGCTTTTAACTAATTTATTTAAAAACTGAAATTTGAAAAGTTCGAAACTTAGATATAATACGAAAAAGTACAAATAAAATGAGTTGTTTATTGAATTTTGAAAACTAATTTACTTTTAAACATGAAAGAAAACCGGAAAGGTTGTCATGGAGAAATCAAGAACGTACCTCAGCGACATCTAGTTTGATATCGGGATCTAATGTTTTTTTAATTTTTTTAATATATTTTTATTTATATAAGTCTACCTATGCCGCTTGGCAATTTCAATTAGTACTTGAAAAGATAGAAGATAAGTCCTACATATTAAGATGGACGTAGGTACTTATGGTTCGATGTTTTTCAAAGACAGATTTAGCCAAGACCTATTTCGAGTTCAACAAGTTAGGTACTGCCCTGCGATTCTCTAAAAATCCAAACCCGAATTCGAATTCACTCAGGTGTCCAAATTCACTTCAAAAAGCGGCATTCGCTCAATTTTGAATTTTGTTATAACGTTTCGTGGCATAAGTAAAGTGAGTTTCGAAAAGACATAGGAGAAGAATATCTGAGACTCCTAATCAATAAAATTTTGTTTTGTATATTATACAAAAACTGGTGTCAATAGAATTTTTTACTATAGGACGTGAATTCGGGTTCGGATTTTTACAGAATCGCGCTGGTGAGCGATAAAGGTAGAGTAATTCGACTTCGCATTTTTTCAGTAACGAGTTTATGTTTGAAGGCGGTTTTTTTTTTAAACTAGAATTTGCGAAATTGACCAAGGAAATTTAGGGCATTTGATTTTTGTTTTAGTATGTTTTTATAAGGTCGATGGCACAGTGGCTAGCCCGCTTGGTCTAAGATACGGCTGTTAAGCAACTTTCGCAAAGGTTGGTAGGATGAGTGACCATGAATAGTCTGCAACTCAACAGTGTTTCAGAAGGCGTGTTAAGCCGTTGGTCTCGGCTGCATCTGCAGTGGTTAATACCCACTAATATGCACCGAGCCCGTGTGGTGGATTGTGGCCCTTTCTCTCTATTCAAATCCATCCATAGGGAGAGTCTGTACCCCAGTACTGGGGGGGATATTTTTTAAAAACAAATACTCTTTGTAAATAAGGTCTCTTTGACTCTTGTTTAGTTAAAAATAGAAAAAAAGTGGTAAGAATTTAATAACATTCTAGATAGCTATATATTCCAGTGTTTATAAAAAGACATTTATTTTTTAATAAAACAAAAGTCAAATGCCAAAAAGTATTATAAAGAGGAAAGATTGATTTGAATTATAGACTCCTAAATTACACTGGACCGATTTTAAAAATTCTTTAATCTTTGTGAAGCTACATCATAATATGTGTGACAGGTTTATAATAAATTACGCAGGCGATGTCGCGGGAATAGAGCTAGTGTCTATAAATTCTTAATTTTATTGTTAGCGTGTACTGATGTGATGCAACCAAACTGTCCCTATTATAAATTTCTGATTTAGCTTAGATAATATCGTGATCTTCAAAGCAAAGTGAACAATACATACGAATTATTATTATTATACAGTATGGTAACAAAAACAGGTTTCACTTTATGTACATAGGGGAGAGGGGGGGGGGGGGCACATTAGAACACTTTTTAAGTAAAATATAATATTTCTTGTATGGTATTACTAATCAAGATTTAATTTATTTTAATATTAGATATGGGGCTTATACTACATAACAAAAATGAAATTTATTTATTTTGAGTTGTTAAATGTAACACAATTTCTGTTTTTTTAAAACTCAATTTTGTTCAAATGTGCCCCGTGGATGGGGCACATTTGAAATGCATTGGGGCAGTTTTGAAAAACCATGATAAAATGAAAACCATGTAACTAAGAATATAATCAACAGTATATTTATGTTATTTGTATGTAATACTATCATAGTACACTTTCATTTATTTCTTAAAATAAATTTTAATTGCATAAACTATATAAAACTCAGAACCACCTGGGGCAGTCTTGAACAAGAGTAACAAACTTATAGTTACAACCGAGATCAAATAAGATATTGCGAAACAATAGTAAAAAGTAATAACGTTCATAAGTATCTCAAAAAATACAACATTTCAAAAAGCCTTAGGAAGGAATTTAATTCATGTAAAATATAAAATTAACAAACTAAATAACCTTAATGGCTATAAAAAAATAATTATGAAAAAAGAAACAAAATTTATTAAAGCTTGTTGAGCGAGAAAGGCTGGTATTTTCAGATTTTCGCAAAGATAATACTGAGTGCCTTTTTTCATAAAGTTTTTCATCCATTCAATACCCGCAATCTTGTTATTTATCCACTTTACAATACGTAAGACTATAATTCATTTTAGACATTTTTAGAAAGTACTTTTCCAGAATACTCTCTTCATCATTTGTGAAAACTTGATGCACAGTGTGTTTGCTACAATATTTTTCATTTTTAGGAGTTAAACTCTCCTTATATTTTTTGACTTTATAAAATAAAATAGATGGTTTTATGTAGTATATTGCAGCAGCGGTCCTCAGCTTCATTCCGTCGTTGATAACACACAAAACAGCTCGTTGTGCATCTTCTTCGTCATTTTCTTTTTTTTTATAATTTCGTGTCATTATGACTGTAAATACAATACAATATTAAACCACTTAGGTACTTAATTTTCATAAAATAAATACCGATGTTTTATTTATGTGCACTGTTGAACATTTTATTCAAAAGCAATTTGACCACCTTTGAAAATTTTTGTTCAAAAGTGCCCCAGTGATTTATTTCAAATCTGTCCCAATACCGACCTTCAGAAATAAATATTCATAGACGAAAAACTAACTTGTGTTTAATGATCTTATATTTGTAAATACTGAGTCCATAATATATGCAACACTATAATATAATCACAACTCGAAAATAATACTTACTTTTTCAGAAATTTGCTTACAAGCAAAAAAATATTTGTTTATTTTCTTCTTCGTAAAATAACCGGCAATATTTTTATAAAATGACACTGACATTGACGTTAGTTGGGACCTGACAGATGTGTAGTTTGGTATTATCAGAATTAAAAAGGTTAAGTTGGTTAGAAAAGATGAAGAATGCGTTCATAAATCGATTGTTTCAAAACTGCCTCCCTCTCCCCTACCTATTTCTATTTTTTTGGTAGGGAAAAGCATATGAATAATACATATAGTTCCACATACATATATTATACATACATAAACACATACAAATGACATTTAGTATCAACAGTTCAAGTACTTCCCCTTTTCGATATCATTTAACACCAAACAAAAGTTTAAGTTATTTTTGTTAATATTTAATTTGCAAAAAGTTAAATTAATTAATTAAGATATACTGAACAGAGGAGTCTTTCGCGTACGATATTTCAGAGTGCAGAAAGCAATACCGGCAAGAAGATTAGGACTGTTTCTTGCCACGCAATATGCCATACAACAGGCACACAAGTAATTCGCGGCGAGATTCCAAAGACAATAAATCAAATTCCCGACAATCATCAACATAAGGACCGTGAAAATGTCTACCAGTATTATAATTTAAGTGCCTTATGAATTTCATCTGTATTCTTTCTATCTCATTTATGTATTTAGAGAACTGTGGTGACCATACGGAACTATAATATTCAAGAATACTACGCCAGTATACAAAGTAAACCGATCTTAGACAATTTACATTTTGAAAAGGTTTACATGTCCTGATTGTAAATCTTAGGTTACGATATGCTCTAGTAACCACATCAGTGATGTGATTGGTAAATGACATTTTAGAGTCTTAACAGAACATCCAAATCTCTCACCACTGCCACTCGCATGCCTTATCCGTAAAAATTATAAGGAAAAACTATTGTGTTCTTCTTACAGCTAAAACTAATGCTATGTTAGGGTATAGGGTGTTACTTATGAAATTGCTGTTCTGGCATACAGGCCGTTTCAAACCAAATTATTTTTTTTTGCTGATAATTCTAATGTCAAATTTATTTTATTTTTTCTAGAATTTGGATAACTTCTTGGCGGAAAAAAAACCCGAGAGGTAGTACAAAATGCCTTTGAAAAATTTGTTGCCCCGTCCAGCTGATTTCTTCAAGAAGGGCATCAACCAATGCGTCAGCAAAGATGCATTTATTGCATCGGTGATTTTGATTAATAGAAATAAAAAATATAGATAAATAAATTTCATGAAAAACAGCAATTTTATAGGTAAAGACCTAATATTATTACGTTTATAATAAGAATATAAGTTATGCAAATCATGTTGAATAAGCTCGGAATCATTCATTGAGGATACCTTCATAAATACTTTTTGTCATCGGCATAAAGCAAATGATGAGCTATTTTAAGACATTCACCAATATCATACATGTACGCGCAATAAAATAAAGGGCCAAAGTGTTATCCTTGGGGTACACGGTGTCTATTTATAACCTCCTATGACAACAGCCTGCATATGAATAGATAGGTAGGATGTTATAACTTAAAGCAGATATTTGTACCTAATAACCAAGAAATTAAATGAAATAAGAACTATTAATAGTTAGAATACTATTATTATTATTAGCTATTAACAGTTCTTACATTCATTTCACCTCTATTGGTTTAAAATATTTGCTTAAGATATGGCATTTTCTCAAGTAATTACTTATCTCGAGACCTACATTAATTAAAGAGCCTCTAACTGTTCGACGACCCCGCCGTTATATCCTATTTGCACAGACATGTCATAAAGAAAAAAATGGTTTTTAATATAATTATGTTAATGAATAAAAAAAAAACATATGTTAAGTTGATAAAATTCTGTAATTAAATTTAAAGAAAAAAATACAAGTGGTAATAAAGTACAATCTAAGTGGTAATAGAAGCAAATTAAAAAAATAAAATTATAAATATCACAGACTGATTGTAATAATTAAAACTCCCTGTATGCTTGCCAACGAATTTGTTTGCAATTTTGCAAAAAGTTAGATTGCAAATAAGTTAGTCTTGATCCCAAAGATGTAGTGTTAATATTCAGAGAGCACTGTATACATTTTCGTGAAGGCATGTACCTATTCTGTGAATTAATCCTTAAAACAGTATATATATCACGTCGGATATTTTGTCTCTATAATTATCTATTTCAATCAAAATTTCCTTCCCAAATATTTCTTATATAATGAATTTTTAATAAAAATCGTTACATACTTAAATATTATACAAAAAATAAAATCTTTTAAAGAATGTATTATACTGAATTTAATACTATTTTTTTTAATAATCCCGTTTTCGAACATTTCGATTAATCACTTTTACGGGACTTTTTAGGAAATTCCTTTGAAATGTCTCCTGCCGGGAAAAGACCTCTAAAAGATGTATGGAGTTCTTTCACCTGGGACTCCTTGATCATATTTGGAGTAATTTCTCTGTTTCTTTTCAAAGTTTTATCTACAGGATCGTCTTTCAAATCGATCGTAGACGCAAGCGATTCCAAAGAAGTGACAGTGGAGCGCTCTTGTATTTTGTTACGAACAGAGAGATCAAGATATAGTTTAGGTGCAGTCTCTGGGGCAAGTTCTAATTGAGCAGAAGAGGTGCTCTCTGTAGCAGGAAGGTCTTCTAGTGCAGCCAATCGCATTATTTCTCGTTGGGACTCACGCGCCTCCACTAGGAATATGCTCTCCTGTTATAGTCATATTTAAATAAGTTATTAAGCATAACCAAATATATTAAATTAATTGTAAATAAATGTTTAAAACTAAAGAACCTAAGCAAATAAAGATCATGTAGTCTAAATGGTTTAATAAATGTTTAATAGCGAGATAACATTACATTATTATCATCGGTATAATAAACTATTTCAGGCCTATCAGGTATCTACCATTTCCAGTGAAGCTAATATCACATTTCGGCAGTGTTTGCTATTGTTGTTTTATTTCATTTAGGTATTTTCAAGCAGATCCGTCCCATCGTAGCCTTTTTTAACTGTAGAGAGGTACAGTTACCACCCCCTAAATACGGATCTGAACTATTTTCTTAATAATGAATGCAATAATATCAGGTAAGATCAAAATAATCGTAAAAAGTAATAATTGAAAAGTATCAAGAGAAACTAAGAAGCAAGAAACAAACTAATTTACTTATTATGTAAACATAACTCTCTCCTTGGATTACCTTCACTTCCTTAGTTGTATACTGGTCCAGTTTATCGTATATCACAGCGTGAAGGCCCATTTCTTTGAGCTTTTTAATGGTGTTCTTATCGTTGTTGTCATCACCCCAGCAAAATATAACGAGACCCGCGTCTGTAGCAAGCTTAACCTGTAAATTATAATTTTAAATGTGATCGAAACAGTTACTTTTTTTTTTCTTTAAACTATGCTATATCATAAACGACAGACTCGTAGCCAGATTCACATGAACATAATATACAATTACAAACTACACAAAAAAGCGGAATTATAGAAGCCGTATTCACGCAAAGAATATTCTGTAATTTGTATGCGAGTCAAAAAGAAGTTTCCAAGTCCTTGCGACAAAAAACTAGCTACTAATAATGATGTATGAGCTACTAAGCGTAGGTGGATATTCTTGTTAAAAGACTGGTGATATACATATAGTATTATATAGCATTTAATTTAATATCTTTTCTTATGCGTGAAGTTGATATTTTGCAATGAGAAATAAATAGTGTTCTGTATCAATTTATATTATTTTGCAGATGCTAATGTGAGACGCACGCTCAATATGTATGTTCAACCAAGATTATTATCGTTTATCGTCGCCTTAAATGTATCATAATGTTAATGTACCTTTCAAACGAAGAACGGTTTACCTTCGAACGCTAAATGACCTCTAATTATAAAAGTATTTTAACATTTTGGCCGCTGAGCTGATTTCGTTACACTGCTATTTTTATACATATCATTCCTGCCAACTCGATTAAAATTTCTTGTGTGATAATTATTTAGTTTAACTCAATCACAATTAACAGCATATCAAACAAATTACGATTAAATCAAATAATCACACGACATTATGATCTAAGTTATAGAACGGCTACTGCGCTAGATTCAAATCATCACAAATGACTTTCAACTCTACCCACCCTCAATGTTATTAAGGTTTGAAATCAAGTCAAAATTTGGACATTTGTATGTTACTTTTTATGGGTCATATTTTCTTGAATACAATCTGTCGTATCGGAGACGTAAGTAAAACGACAAGGTCAAGAACTGACAGGTGTATTGAAAGAGTGGAGCATGATTTACACCCTACCTACAAACTACTAATCTACATATCAAATACCTTAATATATTCCCCCTTCAACAAAATAAAGGGCTACATTTCCGCTAGACAATATAAGATCAGTACATCTGTTAGTCGGGGTTTGATCTCTTCAAATATCAAATTTTACTTACTAAATATTTGCCCACCACCAGTCGTTCGATAACAAATTATGATTTACAAACTACCACATATAAATTAAATTGTTATATTTTATAACAATATAACAACTATTCAAACTATACTTATTCCTTTTATTTTATAAGACCGCCATTTGTTACATTTTAATGTATTGTTTAGTTTGATAAGTTTATTAAGATATCTGTGGTTTTGACAATAAAGAATTGTTACTTAAGGACTACTTAATGCTTTTCCTGATTTAGATATTTTTTTACTTAGAAAATCCTAAGCGAATTACATATTATGATATTCGAAAAAGTGTTTTGAAATATTATGTAATTAGGTTAGCCCGTTTATGTTTAATATATAAATAATACTCGGGGAAGATAGGCTATATTAGCTAGTTGACAACTTTTTTATTAGTCAATCGAAAATGCTCCCTACAAATTCCAAGCATCAAGTGACGTCACACAGCGCTACAGTTGCGAAAAACGTATGAGCTATTATAATATCTAAATTAATGACAACAAAAGTATTTTAAGTAATATTTTTCCTACTTTTTTCAAGTTTCCAAAGCGTAATATTTTCCAAATTCGTGTCGCAAAATCTAAGTTAAAATGGTTCATATTTTCCGGACATATAACAAAAACCTGTATTTCTACTTGTAAGACACAAGCCTATTTTAAGCAGGCGAAGAAGTGGCGAAAAGTATCTAGTTTACTGGAAATTGATTCACACTTCAAGAACAAATCGATGAACATATCTACTTATATAAAAATATACAGACCCGTTGAACATATAAAATCGTCTTTTCGGATTTTGAATGAATGCAAAAGACGCAGTCTTTAGTTTTCTTGGCTGATATAAACATGACATCAAAATATAAAGGTGATACCTTATGAAAAGCCTACTTTGTTTTGTTATAAAAAGGAAAATATTTATTCGATTTCGATAAAATTTAAATGGGACTGAGGCAGTTCTTATGAGCCGAGGTAGGCCTTAATAGCTGTCGAAGAAAAAAAGATCTCGAAAATCGGTCAACAATTCGGGTGTATATCTAAAGTAAAAGTATAAAAAAGTTGTCTATACCCCTGTTTGCGGAAAAATCGCTGAACATAAAAAAAAACATATATAGCCGTCAAACATATAAGCTTTTGATTTTGAAGTCGGTTAAAATAATCTTTTAAATAAAAATAAGCTTGGCAAAACAAAATTTTTTCAAACTTATAACACTTCTCTTTGTATATCAGGGTTGAAAAACAGGCCAGTGTAGAGGGTCATGGCCCATCCATAAGCATGGCCGTAGCCCCTGCAGTGTGGACGTAAAAAGGCCGATAATGGTTTACCTGAGTAGGATCCCGTAGCAAGTCTTCGGTATGGACGACAATTCCCAAGATATCACTGCTTACAGCACTCTGTACAGCTGCTGGTATAGACAAACATCTAGGATCGCGATATGGTTGATATTTTTTAGTTATTCCCTATAATATTAAAAATGTATATTTTTTTTATAAAAATGATATTTATCTCTTTGCCTATAGATATATAACTATATTATACTATATTATGTATATATGTATATTATACCTATGTTCAAATACAATGAGCAACTACTAATCACAAAGGAAATGTTTAAGAGATAATTAAAAACGTTGGTAGATGTTTACGAGAGTTTTATAAATATGTATTTTAGAATTTATATTAATGTAGGTGAATTATAATATTGTTTGCCTTTATTACCTAAAGGCAAAAAAGATAAGTAAGTATGCTCGATAGAACGTTTGATTTATGGATATGAAATACGCATCGAAGACGCGCTCGCGCGCCCGCTTGCCAAGAAAAATGGTGGGAATCAGCCGCGGCTCAACTGCACAAGCACACCGTGTGTACGTCAAAATAGCAGGCACACTAACGAATTTGAGGGTCTTATGTTTGTCAATAAATATGTGGAGACAAATAGTGATATATAGTATATTTATATACACAACATTAATCAGAAATTCTCTTAAATTATCTTAGATCGCCTCCTACCTAAACGTCAAGGTTTTGTTTAGTGTATTTTTAGCTTCAAATTCTTACCTATTCACTTGGGATTGCCGTTGCTTTAAGCGTCAAGGTAGATACACTAATAACCAGAAATATGTTGAATTCTATTAAGTGAAATTTAAGTTAGTAATATAGCATTCACTATTTAGTCATTTTTTTTGACATGTAATTCAAACTAATATGGTTCGTACTTCTATTGTCTTCTCTAATATTGGAAAAACATAGTGTGCCTGTTAGCTAGATAAAAATCTAGCTAACAGGCACACTATGTTTTTCCAATATTTCTTAGTTCACAGTGTACTTAGTACCTATTTCTATGCCATGTATCACCTTTACATTTGTCACTATTTACAGACCTATATTTCTACTACTTATTGACACAAATTCGTTGATGTGCCTGCTATTTTGACGAACACCACACAGCTTGCGCAGTTAGAAATACTACAGACTCAGGAAATGATATTTCTTCACTATTAAATAAATATAATTTTTTTATAAAGTTTCATTGTAATTTCATTTTAATCACGTCATACATTATAACATGAATATAATTTGTTATTAGTACGATATTATTATTAGTAGGAAATGATATTTCTTCACTATTAAATAAATATAATTTTTTTATATCGTTTCATTGTAATTACATTTTAATCACGTCATACATTATAACATGAATATAATTTGTTATTAGTACGATATCTAAATAGGTTTTTGGATCGATTACATACAAAAATAGGTTTTGATATGATCAAGGAAGCAATTTTTTTTCGGTTTTATTAAATGTGTGAAATCAAGCGGTTTACGAGCTCGCGTTGTCTAATCAGTCTCCGCCAAGGCGTCTTAGAGGATGCGCGTGTGTCATTTTTGGGGAGAAATTCACGGCGCGTCACAATATTTTTATATGACGATATACGTGGCCGAGTGGGTCATACGCTAGTTTCAAGTCTCGCCATTTTTGAGGTCCCGGGTTCGATTCACGGTTGGTTCAATATTTTGGGCTACTTTCTATTCCACTTAATAGTTCCCTAGGGACCACGCAGGCGATGCCACTCATTGAAAGCTAATATACATATAACATTTCATCAAAAAAGGTCAACCCGATTCGGAAGAGTATGGTAACTGAAACTGACATGCAATTTTATATATTAGATTAAAATACTTACGATTGTTAGAAACATGACGGGATATTTGTTCTGCTTATGTCGTACCATTGTGCAAATATCAGGATTGAAACATGAGAACACAATACGACGCTGACCTGCATTTTTTAAAACCACTTCCAATACCTAAAATAAAAAGATATGTTTCATCAACCAAATTATATCTAGTACTACGTTGCTTAACCTTTTCTGGTCTACAGAAAATCAAACACGATTACAATGGACCCCTATAAATAAAAATAATAAATTCGGGGCCAAACCAAAATGTAGCGTTCAGACTAGCAGCGTTAACTATAAAGGCATGTACACAATGATCACTAATTTTTATAATATGATCATATACAAAAAAAATCTTACAAAGAAGTTGTTATTAAAAAGGAGAAAACTAAATTATTTTTAAGGTTTTAATTCATATTCATTAATAAAATCGGTTTGATTAATAATTGATACATGGAATAATAATTAGCGTTCAGTCTGAGTTGCTGATATTAAACAATGAGAAAGTATTAAAAAAACATTAGTCCCGAAATCTAACTAGATGTCGCCACGGTACATTCTTGGTTTCTTGATTTATCCATGACAACCTTTCCGGTTTTCTTTCATGTTTAAAAGTAAATTAGTTTTCAAAACTCAATAAACGACTCATATTCTATTTGTTCTTTTTCGTATCTGTATTGATATCTAAGTTTCGGACTTTTCAAATTTCAGTTTTTCAAATGTAACTGAAATGACTGTCTTTGGTCCATTCGTTTCCTGCAAAAATCAACTTTTGCTAGAGTCGCCATCTAGTGGAGGTGCTTTATAATGCTTTCGTTTTTTTTTTAATTCTTCTTCATTCTCGCAAGGGCTGGTCGATCAGGTGGATTTCCAATATTATAATTTATTATCTCGAACTTCTCCGTGCTTCGGAAAGCACACTAGGCCGGTGGTAGCTTCATAAACAGTTGTGTACACCTTCTAATGTTCACTAGGCTTAAGAAATGGGAATCCGATACGATTCCATTCATAGGGAGGACTAGTGTCCTAGCAGAACAGAATGTAGCGTCAAATACTATTTGTTCTTTTTCGTGTTGTTGTTGTTTTTTATCTAATAGAAAAAATATTTTTTAAATCGATTCTTGTTTCGTCAGGACAATATGATTTGCTATTTTGTTTAATAGATTGTAACATTTAAGAAACTTGACTACTTAGACGTTTAAAATAGTCGATACCGACACAGATAGCGATAAAAGTGTTTTACCTTATCAACATAAGTGTTCATATCAAAAGGATTGTTCAGTTCAAAGGTACCGTCGTCCATTTCCATAGTCCACTTCAGTTCGACGTTAAAACCAACATGTAGATCTATATTTTTAAGAACATCTTCTAAAGTAGGAAATGGCTGATGCTCTTCCAAGTCCTCGTCGTAAAATAATATTTCATGATTTCTTCCCTCCACTAAATGATAAACCTGCAAGGAATGGGTGATAAATTTTGCCCTAATTATTGCGCCCTAACTGTCAAATCTAACGATGATTCCAGTGTCAAACACATATTTTAACTTTGAATGAAAATAAGAAATTAAAAGCGACACTAAAGAGTTCACCAAAAACTTTGAGCAAACCGCGTTTTAATTGTAAATTACGTAAGTTATCAAAAATTGACTCATTATTTTACATAAGGGAGTATAATTTCTTTGATTATATGTATCGACAGAATAACGTTACAAAAAACAAAATTTCTTTTAGTTTAGGCCCCTCGCCCACGGCGACTTTTTGTAGCGATACAGTCGCGCGTTCGCTAAACGCGCGACTGCATCTTTTCTAACGCGTGTTAGTCGCATTTGCAACGCGTTACTAACGCACTACTGCATCGCGATTGTATCGATATAAATGCGCGAGACCGCGTCGCGCTACTAACGCACTACTGCATCGCGATCGGGACTCACGTCTTCCTGAGTATTCGAATAAGATTGCAAAAAGAAAGGCATGGGAAGAGATAAATGAATTATTCAATGCAGAATTTGGAGAAAAAACCAATAAAGAAAAAAATGATTGTGGTAAGTTATTTATTTAACTTTAGTATTGGAGCCTCCGCACACACAAAATGTGTTACAATGTACTTGAGTCGGACTTCGCATATACCGTACTTTATCATTAAAAACGCAGATGAGTGTTGAGTATGATGAGATGTTCGTTGTTGTTATATGATTTTTCTAAAGATTTTTGTGTCGTATCTGCATCGCGACCGAATCGCGTTTGTATCGCGACCGAACCGCGTTTGCATTGCGACTGAATCTGGTCCCGTGGGCGCGGGCACACAGCTAGCGACTGCTTCGCGTCTGTATCGATGCTATGCGCGAGAGCATCGCGACTGCATCGCTACAAAAAGACGCCGTGGGCGAGGGGCCTTAGAGGTGTGCCACCATATTCAATCGCAAATAATGACCTATACATATACCAAGAAGAATTTTAAACAGATAGCAACATCTATGGAGAATCAAAATGAAAAACAAAATTTTAAATTGCGATGGTTAGAAAAGACTGGTGGCCTGCTGTTAAAAATAGGCAATAAGCAATAGGTAATTTATTAAATGATGAGTAGGTATGGAGATGGAATCAGTGTCTCGAGAGAGGTCTCCGTTGCGCTAGAACGACCAGATAAAAGCAACCAACGCATCTTTGAACGATAAGGTTCAAGCCTCGGTTCGGGACAAGTCTGTAGAGCTGCGCGACTCCCACATCATGCCTGACCATGACCACTCTGACAAAAGCATACGAGGAAGAGAAAACAAGTAATTTATTGCCAAGTTTAGACGTCCATCTCCGACAATGAATATGCAGGTTGGTATATTATTATTGGCCATTCAACTAGTAAGATAACCACATACTTAGTGAAGAGAAATAAATCATAATTGTTATTGGAAGTTCACCGGGCATGCGCTAAGACTACCAAAACATTTAATGTCATTATATTTATTGACGTTTCCAACAGGCTTAAAGTAGGTATAAGCTTGTTAACAACTACTCGAAATATTACTAAAATTGAGTAGTGCAGCACCAAAAAACACGCTATTGTGACTATTAGCATCTACAAAAATGTAAAGAAGTAGAAGAATATTATTTTTATTAACTTTTCCTTTAAAATCAAACAAGAAGACCGCACCGCTGGCCGATTTTTACAAAGAGGGAGCAGGAGATCCAGCATCTGATAAAAATCGTCTTACGTATTAAATGAATTATCGTCTTACGTATTAAATGCCTTAACAACTTTATAATTACAATGAGTATTAACACAGGAAAGTTGTCAATCATACTCTCGTATCTATAGTCAAATAGAAAAAATTGCTTGGCTAAAAGTAATAACTACACAAATATTTTTAAACAATAGACGAGAATTTGAAAGGTGTAAGAACTGTCGACAATTAATAATTAATAACAGTGTTCCAACTTCTCAGAGTTCTTACTTCATTCAAAATCTTGTCTCTCTAAAATCATAGCAAAAAACTGATGACATTTCTGAATATATAGAAAACTGTGAGGGTAGTTAGTAAGAAGTAAAATGAAAACTTATGTACTTAGTATATTTTTTTTAAATAATAGAACTGAACTGAACAACTTAAGGGTATAGTTTGTGCTATAATGATTTACTTTGCTTCACCATAATAAACTTCGCAGTCACTAGAAGGCCAACATAAAAAATGACAACTTATGTACTTAATTGTCAGTGATTCAGTCTGAGTAAATATATACCCAAATTAAAATTTAAATCATAATTTTTAAAACAAGAAATAGTATGTATGTATGACTCCCAAATCAATAGAAAGAGATTCTTTGAATTAAAATAAAGTTAATTAATTCTTTTTATGAGCAACTTTCGTTCTTTTTTATTTTAGAAATAAAAATAAAATTTTTAAATCAAGAAATAGTTTGTATGTATGACTCCCAAATCAATAGAGACAGATTCTTTGAATTAAAATAAAGTTAATTCATACTTTTTATGAGCAACTTTCGTTCTTTTTATCTTAGAAATTCTTAGCAATATATTCTTTAAATCAAAAATAAAATAGAATTTTATGAAACATGAATATATCTTGAATGGTCGCAAAATTTAATTTGCAGTAACTAAGGCTACACTTTTAATACCTTCAGCTTTTGAAGTTGCTCCAAAGTCAAATCCTTCACAGGTAATTCTAACATTTCAGTAAACTCAACTTCCTTTTTTCTTTTCATTGACATACATACATAAAAATCATGATAAATAACTGGTATCATATCTTTACTTAGCTGAACATCAAATTCTAGCAAGTCTGCACCACTTGCAGCTGCCTTCTTAAGGGAAGCTATTGTGTTTTCACGAATAGAATTTCCTCTGAAAATGATTACTCATTATGTAAAGAATAAACGTGGTATTACTTTATTAATATTATAGGCCACTGACATTACGATGATTATTATAACAAGAAAAAGTTTTTGTGTAGCAGATAAGACTAATTTAATGTATCTTTTTTATTTAAATATGGCCTTGCAAAGATTGTCTAAAGCAGGGGTCGGCAAGCTATGACCCGCGGATCAATAACTATTTTAATATTTCAAGTGACCCACTTCAGTTCTGACAATTAGTATAATAAAATAAATTACAAACACAAATAAAGTAAAATAAGTATACTATTACCAGCCATATAGTTTACCGTGATATTCAATAACTGGCTACTTGACTTTTATAGAAGTATATTTTTAAATTATCATGTTTATTTAAATAATTATCAGATATCTTTCTCAAGAGTATTGTAGTCTAAAATTCATATAAAATTTCTCCTTCCTCTGTTATTTGATTGTAACAAATTTTATTTGTTAGATAATATGTAGATAATAATAGGTATATAGATATATAAATTAAGGGCCATAACTGTAAAAAAAAAAAGATTTTTTTTAACTTTCCTCTCTAACTCTTACTAATGAAAATCAAGCATCGAAAAACTCTAGTTAACCCTAAAATCATTTTTTAACCCTCAGTCTGAAAGTTTCGTGTCTCACGTATGTAATTAAAGGTAATTTCATCGAATTTACTCGATAGATAATCCAACACGCGTAACATGACAAACTCGAGAACACTATACTCGAATATCACTTTTCGGGGGCTAGCCCATATTTTCTCATTATCGACCCGAGAATAGCAACGTTTGAGTGTAGACAAACAGTTTCTCTTGTTTGTCATGCTACGCGTGCAGAATAGAGTATGATCATGAAACTAGAAGGTGGCCATTGGCATTTTGTTATTAAATAACGCAAAACCGTCGAGTTAAGGCTCCTTTAATGTGTCTGTACATAATCTATGGTATGAAACTGATCTGATGATGGCGCCGAAAGATAGCCATGGGACCTGTCATTAAACGAACAAGCCCCATCGAGTTGGGGTTCTTTTGATTTCTTTTGACTATGACTGGTTCGAGATAATATCCAGGGTCTGATGATGGATCTGGAATTGGACTGGAGCTGGCTGTGAAAACTTTGTAAATAACGCAATCCTGTCCAATTTGGGTGCATTTCATTTGTCTAAACAAGATTGATTTTAAGGCTTGATTTTAAAAAGGAAAATTTATTTTTGGATTAAGATATCCCTTGCTATTCGTGAAAGTTTCAAACTTTAGGTAGTATTGCGATTGATTGTCCCAAATGACTGGTCTATAATAGCTTTGTTTAAGTTTAAGTTTCCATATCCAACATCTATCATAATTTATTGCTATACGTATAAATAAAAAACTTCTGTCACAACTACCTAGTTGCTTAAGAACGAAAATTCCTTTTTCACTACTAGATGTGAAACTCACTTAGAATTGGTTTAATTCTCTAAATAAACTCAGTTGGCAGCCCAAAGAATTATAACAGTCAAGTAGCCAATTAGTCACAGGCAACCCATAGACCAAAAACAATGAGGGTTGAAAGTCTAATAATAAAAAAGTAGTTCTCCAAATTGAACTATATGTTAGTAGGAACTTACAAATATTATGATACATCAAGTGAATTCTGATAATTAAAAATAGTATTTCAAGTAAGTACAAATAGCAGGGTTTCTTTTAATATCTAAGTTCCGAAAATTTATTCGGGTTTTATTGAAATTAGACTTTTTTGGGTGAATATCCTATTAATATTATAAAGGCGAAAGTTTGTAAGTATGGATGTATGGATGTTTGTTACTCTTTCACGAAAAAACTACTGGACGGATTTGGATAAAACTTTACAGCAATATAGGTTATACATCAGAATAACACATAGGGTACTTTTTACTGGGAAAACTTCTCACTCCCACGGGATACCGACTTCCACGCGGACGAAGTCGCGGGCGTCCACTAGTGTAGAATAAGTCTGTGATCTATTATAACATCATCGTTTTGGAATTTACAGAAATGTACAAACTACCATTTAGTGAAATTTATTTTAGTATGTAGTTTCTTTTTTTTTTAATTGTACTTTCTCATTGATCCAAGAGGTATTGTATTGTAATAATGTATGTTACATCATGAACATGAAATCATGATATAGATAGGTACTTTATTGATAGAATAATAACCTTATCACACAGTATCGTAATTAAATGACGATTTGCTCACCCACCGGTTTCGAAGTCGCGAGCTCTCAGTTATTTTCTATAATTGGCTTTTAGATTTAGGTATTTTGGTTTATCTGTCATTTCAGAATTCCATAAAACAAGCTTTAGCTACTTAACTTGGGACTTATTAGTTATACATGATTTAATATTACATTTTAAAAAATCACTGAATAAAGAACAAAATGGAGATTTGTCAATTCAACCTAGGTCCATAACTATTTCAGTTAAATAGTGCAAAAACTTATACTACCCAAAAATAATATTCAATATATGAACTAATACCTTATTACTTAAGTCATGAGCTTGTTATCATATCAATTCAATATCAATATCAAACTCATTGTGGCATCTAAGAAAGTTCATAAAATTAGATTTTTTGAAGAAAAACTTTAAATAATGCATCTTTTTCAGTCTAAAGTATGGTAATGTTAATAAGATTTTTCTCTCTATCTGTTGAGGTTGAGGATTCCATTGCTCTCAATTTTTTCTCACTTTAAGCGGCTTGCCCCCATTAGTCTATTAGTCCATTTCAATACTTGCATACTAGTATACACTTTGTATAATATAATAAAAATGTGGAATCAGCAAATTTTATTGTTTGTTATCTTAATGTGAATGTAACTTGATGTCACATAAAATATTGCTTTCAACCCTCTTATGTTTTATGGTAATTGGTAATTGAAACATTATCATTATGGAAGATAAATATTGAATAAACAACATCACTTTCCAACTTTCAAAAGTAACCAAAACAAATACAAGTGTTAATTTGAGAGTACCTTTGACCCGCTGCCAAGAAAGGTTGCTGACCCCTAGTCTAAAGTGGAATAAGTCTAGGAACAATATACTCACTCTTTTGTTTTAAAACTTGCACCAAGTCCACGATGGCCCACTTCTAGACCAGTCCAGGCAGGATCCCAATGTTTTGCATAAGAAACCTGGAAGTTACTGAGCTTTTCTTCCATAGGGTAAACAATTAAATATTCAAATTTTACAGTGCCCAGTGGTCTATGCTTCACATTACATGTCACAGGTAACTCTAAACCTCCCCCAGAGGCCTTGAACATATTTGGTAATACGTAAGTATAACCTATATGGCAAGGTGGATCTTCAGTTGATGCACGAGAACTGAATGAATAAAAATCTATGAGATATGCTAGGGCTTTAGGTTCAGGTGCAAATACATTCACTAGCATCACATCATTAGGTTTATATTCCCTTCCGAATTGTTCCTGAGGGTGTGGAATGCACATTGAAGGACAGTTGTCTAATGTAGATACTTCAACAAATACTCCGAATGGCACTTCTGCTTCAACTGTATCACTATTCAAGGAAGACTCTTCCACATGAGGCTCAGAACCAAAAGATAATTTAACAGGAGTAACTTTAATATTCATCAGTCTACGGGAGAGACTGCTCTTCAATTTATGAGGATTATTGGTAAATTTAAATTGAACTAATGTCTGAACAGTGAGCCAGCCATGATCTATTTTCTGTTTACCATCATAGTCACCAAATATATCAACGAGAGGGTGCAGTGTGTTTTCTGTTATAACTCGAGGGTGTAAATTAGTTTCCCAACGACAGATTATGACTTGCTTGGAATCTTCAGAGAGAATACATATGGCATATCGATAATATATATCACAAGTATTTGGTATCTCCAAAGTTTTTGTCCAACAATCGGTCCCTAACTGAGATTCCATAACAACAACTTTAGTATAATCCCATTCACCTAATTCTTGTGTACTGCCTGTAATTACGACTTTTTCTTCTGGTCGTAGAGCTGGTACAGACACTGTAAATATCCATTCTTGAGATGTTATTTCCCTGACCGGTGGTGGCACATCCAGGGACATTTTTTTAGGGGGCTTAATCCTGGTCTTTTTCCGATCTTCTAAAAAAAACCAACGTTGCATGACTAACGAAATTGTAGTTTACATTTATTTATTTTAGAATACTATATACATTAATTAAATTATTAATTAAACAAAAAAATTACGTCATGATGTTTCTCAATAATCACATAAAATCCTTCAGAAAAAAAAATCAATCAACAACTTGCCAATTAATAACTACGTGTCCAATGGATTACGTTATGTGTTTTGTTCAGAAACAAAAAGTTTATTTTACTCATTGCAAAAATGACATTGCAAAAGTTGGTCATAAAATAATGTTGTAGTACTTATATTTATCACATTAACTCACCTGAGAAGGACACTAATTAACTAAAATCATTTTAGGTTAGAACATTATAATTGCATTCTTTATTATTAAAAATAATCTAAAATTTACTTTTTAAGTTGAAATAAACTTAAACAAATACACTGATAAACTGTATTAAAAATGTGGAACAATGTTGCCTGCCTGCCGCCATCAGTCAGTGTTGCCAACTCCAAGAATTAATGCAATAAATTAACAAACAAAAAGTTATTAAGTTATTTTAACAATTTTTTGGGGATTATTCATCAATATTTCAATAAATAATAAATGATTTATATTAATAAATGAATGATAATAAATGATAAATGATCTCTTGCATTTTTGCTTGCTATACTTTCTATTTTTAAATGACGCGGCGAATTTCCAAATTAAGTTACGTGGGTGTTATTTAGACAAGGTTCTATATGCATAGCCCCACGGACAAATTGTAAGCTGGCTCAATAACAAGAATTCATTCAATCCAGGAAGCGCAAGCGCAGTACGTACGCGCGTTATAAGATATTGTTGACACCCACTGCCTTTGAAGATGTGTTTTTTGTCTTCGTCATTTGTATGTTATTGTGTGACAGAGAAAGCGCTCTACTAACTCAACTCCAGGAACAGAGTATAGTGCATTAGCAATTTAAGACCCATATTACATCTCAACTGTGATTTCTGCGTGATTTTTCTCGGAAACAAAAATAAATTAACAATTTTAACTTGTTGAATAGTGAAGAATAACTCTTGGTATAGAAATTAGTGGCTTAACTTTTTGGAAATTTTGCTCATCTTTTTAATTAAACCCAAAATACCAGAGAAAGATTTTCATAAAATGGGCAAAGACACTTTTTTGAAGTCCTATATTGAGCTACTGTTACTGTAATAAAAGAAATATAATGATATCTCTTATATAGTCGTAAAGTAAATAGTAGCGTCGAAATTTTGAAATAGCACTGGTTAAATATAGAAAAACAATCAATATGATTGTTTTTCTAACAAACAAACAAACCAAAAAACATCAAAAATTGCTTAAAGTTAACTTTAAATTTCTCTTAGCCACAACAATATTATTTAACAAAAATTATGCCAGATTAATGACTATTTCATAAGGAACAAAGTTATTATAATTTTAAAGCATAAATTTATTATATTATTTCAATAAATACAATAAATGTAAACGCAAAATCACTACAAAATAAGATACCAAATACCTTGGCGTGACACTAGACCAAAGACTCACCTTCATACCGCACGTCAATCGCGTCACTCAAACCGCACGACGCTACCTACTCCGACTCAGCCCTATGCTCGGACGACACAGTAAAATGTCATTACGCAACAAACGCACATTATTCAAAGTCTGTATACGCCCAGTGATGACGTATGCATCTACCGTATTCGCACACACCAATCCTAAAACACTGTACAAATTACAAGTAATTCAAAAACTTTTCTGCCGCCGAGCGGAAAACGCTCCTTATTACATACGCAACGCAGATCTACACAGATACCTCGAACTTCCCACTATTCAACAGTGGTGTAAAAAAGCCTCTGAACGCTTCTTCAAAGCGGCAGAGGAACACTCCAACCCTCTCATCCGATCGGCAGCCCCTCCACCTCCCCTCTCGCCCGTAGGCCTAAATCGGTCCTTACCGATCAACCCTCCAAGCTTTCCGCTGACTTGGACCTCCTCCTGGAGACCCAACAGACAGATTCCGCCCCGAGTCCTTCTGGCCCGTCAGGCCAACCTCAATCCGATTTAGTTAATTAGTAAATAATACCTAACTTAACTTAACATAAATTCAACATAAATTTAAACTACACTTAAATTCAATTCCTTTATCCGATAAGCCGTTACCCCGGGGATAACGGCTAACAACTCGACGTCACTATTCATGTAAGTGAATAGGGACGTCTGCGCTGCCCCCCCCCCCCCTTGCGGGGGGGCAGTCGCTCCGATGAAGGTTCGTTGCCCCGTCAGGGCCCGCAACCAATAGTCCAAGGCGGTGTTTAATCAGTAGGAGTCTGACATAACCCTCACAGCCGGCTGTGTTGGTATCCAATGAAGGATTAACCGCCTCCTTCCTCCGTTGATGGGAAGGTGGTTCCGAGCCCTTAAGGTTGAGAACCGAAAAAAAAAAAAAAACCGTCTGAGCCTCCTTGGAGTAAAAGTGTTCTGTGGTACCGCGCGAGCGCTCCTAAATGTTAGATCTGTGTCGCATTACTTCGCGCCATTTTTCGATCAAGATACGTTCGAGTGAGCGTTGATAGAGCAGTATAGTGGGACTTGCAACTTTGGTCACGAAGTTCGATTTATATGGAATTTATATAGCTTGTTGAATTATTTCTAATACACATTTGTTATTTTCAGCATAGAAAGACCCCTAGGTATATTTGTATAAGAAAGTCAAAATATATATTTATATTAAGAAATGCAAATAAAGCAAGGTACTTCTTCTCTCAATACACTTATACTAGTACATAAAAATTGGAGTGCATATTTGTAATATTAAAATAACCGCTTTTCACTAAATACATTTGTGTGTATACATGGTACATATACAAAAATAATATATTTTATCTGTCTGTCTGTTAGTTCTGGCTAATCTCTGAAACGGCTTGGCCGATTTTGAAGAGACTTTCACTAGAAGTTGATTTACGTAATGAGGATTAACCTAGACTTATGGCTTGATGCAATTCGACCGATATCAAATTTATCGGAGATCCGCATATCAAGCAACTTTTTCTAATTTCAATATATTTTTAATCCCCGACGCAAAAACGACGCGGTGTTATAAGTTTGACATGTCTGTGTGTATGTGTGGTGTGTTTGTGTCTTTTTGTGGCATCATAGTTCCCGAACGGATGAACCGATTTTGATTTTGTTTGAAAGGTGTATTAGTCGGGAGTGTTCTTCACTTTGTTTACAATCGATCCAAGATGGCCGCCGCCACAAAATGTCGGATAACATATTTTATCACCATTCCATCAATGGGCGTTTTTAAAAAAAGCTGACCGTTACGGAACCGGAATGCATTTTTTTTTGAGAAATGATCTTGTAATTTTTTTCACTTTTTGGATAGCATATTAAATGAGCTTTTTAAAAATACCAATTGTTTTATAATTGAACAAGCAGTTAAGCCAAAAAAATAATTTGTATAGGGCACTCAGGGCACAAGAAGTTCCAATTAGTAACACTTTAAATATATTTTTTTTAAATAAAAGCCAGGGTATTCTGAATTATTTTGTTTAATTTTCTTATTATTTAAATCGGTTACATTAATTATATTAGCAAACAAAAATAATTTTCAGCATATTTTCTCAAATTATTAATGAAAATACTTCCGATTAGTAACATTTGTTTCATAATCTCCTCAAATTATATTATGTTTTGAAAAAGACACAAGGTATAACACTTAATCTCTTAGATAGTCGGGTAAAACATATTAAAATAAGCAATATTTAGTTGTAACATTAATCATCTTCTAATAAAATTATCAAACAAAATAACTTTTTTTAAACTAAGTCTCACTTTAACAAATTACTAATTGGAATTCTTAGTTACTAACAGGATCATAAAGTTGAGTTCACAATACTCACTTTTTATTAACTACTTCTAAAATTTTTATAATCGGTCTTAATTCAAATCACAGTAATCACAGCTAGAGTCTGGCAAGCGAAACGTGTCACAAGAAAAGGGCGGCAATTTCAAAAATTCTTAAGCAGTAAACACTGAATGTAGTACTGCAAAATAATTTTGATATTTTTATTAATTATATTTAATCTTAACATTTAGATATCAATTAAAATTATTTGTTTTGGAACATTTGACTAAAGCGTGACTGTTCTTAATTGTACAGTTAACAGCATATCAGTAGGCCTATTCACTAACTCAACTGACAACCAAGAATCGTCATCACCGTAAAAAATAGACACTTTGATTGTGTCAAAATCACTATTTCGTATTCTCTATCAATGATGAGCAATTTCGAAATGTCAATATCGGCATTCTCCACTGGACTCCATTTTGACACTTGATTTCGTATCGATAAACTGTATTAAAGTAACATTGTTGCAAAGCATATTTGAAGTCGTCGCATAGTACCTCTTAAGCCATTTGTTGTTAAATTAAAGCGAAAAAAAATACGTATCCAATATTTTTCTATTATCTGACTGATTTGTCATTAATTATTGACAAATTTGTCATTAATTTGTCATTAATTAAAAGGGTGTTTTTTGCAACGACTTCTTTGTTTTTTTGTAATGAATATGGGCGACTCTGGCCACATTTTTTTAATAAATGTGATGTTAGCCAATTTTGATTTCTGGCCCTTATATTTATAATGTGTTCATAACACATACATGTCTCCTAAGGGATTTTCATCACAACCTTTTGCTCTGATCCAGAACCACTATCTATCAAATTAAATTAGTCAATATAAACACCAGATTACAATAAAAAAAACATTTATTTTTGTTACAATTAAGTGCCATGGATAAATTACATAATACAGGTGTCACAAAATCATCATGTTAATCACAATAGAAAATTTAAGATAAGATTTTGACTATGAATCAGACTAAAAATACTTTAGTCTGATTCATAGTCAAAATCTGTTTCTAAATATTCTACACCTGATAACAATGACAAGGAATCATCAGAGTCACTCTCTTCACTACTGTCTGCACCAACAGATATAATAAATTTTTCAAGTTCGTTTTCAACAATGCCATCTTTTAATTTGTAATCATTTTCGACATTTAAAACATGATCAGTGTATTTCTTCCAGTCACTAGGAGTAATTAAGTTAAAACACTCTATTATTAAGTTTTCCATTTCCTTTCCTGGTATTCCAATGTTTCTGCTTGCAATTTTTCTTTTTGCTTGACTCCAAACCATCTCTATTGGGTTTAAGTCACAATGATACGGTGGCAGCAATAAAAGTTCATGATTATGTTCTTTTAAAATCTCTTCAGCTTCATATACAGGCAATGTTTTCTTATCATTAACCAAACACATTAACTCTGCCTTTGTCTGATATTCCTCAAAATGTATTCCATTATTTACAAGCCATTTACGGATATCTGCTTTGGTATTAGACATTATAGGCGGTTTATTGATTTGTTTTATATGGTAGCTGGCATTATCCATAACAATTACACTGGGCTTACTTAAATTTGGTATTAATTTTTCTCTGACCCATTTCATAAAGTTCGATGAGTTCATATCATCATGATAATCAGCAGATTTGGATTTACTACTGAACACTAATAATGCACCAGGCACAAAACCTTCCTCAGATCCAGCATGCACAACAATATGCCGTTTTCCAGAGGATATCTTTGTAGTGACACCAGTTGTTGAAGGTCCTTGCCAAGACTTTTTAACTTTATAATTCTGATGTACATAAGTTTCATCAAGGTA